GTTTAAAACTTCATAAATGAATTAAGTTTTTTTCCGCCTTATACGAACCTTAGTAAAAACAGGCTCTTATATAACAAAACGAAAATGTATTTAACTGTTTCTACGACGGCTTACGGCCGCCCTTAAAATTTGGCCGCCTTTGTGCCTGCATAACCTGCACACCCCTTAAAAACAGGGTTGTGTCAATCTAAAGATGGTAAACTTTCTTCTTGGATAGCAAAGTGAATGTACAAAATATCCTTGTATCCTTGTTTTCACTGTCTTAGGCCCAATCGGATTAGTATTTTAGATTCTGAAAATTCGAAGCAGCAATTTTTCCTTCGGAATTCGTTGGAGGGGGTCTCTGGTAGTCTAAATTCAAAAAGTTGGGATTCCAAAGTTGTCGTTACCTCCGCCATCTTGATTTAAAGGGTTATTTTTTGTAACTTGAATAACTCATGTATTTTCAATTTTACACGGAAAATAGTTTTTACAAAAGTTATTTAAAATTAAATTTCCTACAATTCTGCTTTTTTTTGTACGATCGATTTTTTCGATTTATACCCGAAAAGAGAATAACTCGTTTATTTTCAATTTTACGAGAAAAATTGTTATAAACAAAGTTGTTTAAAATTAAATTTCCTACAATTCTGTTTTTTTTTTGTACGATCGATTTTTTTGTATTTATCCCTGAGAAGAGTGGGGGTAAACCTAAGTATTGTATTGTCACGTTTATTATTGATATTGTACCATTATTTTTTCTGTTTTTTTTTTGCTGATACCTGGAATTAAAAAGAAACGTGATAATACAATGATAAGAGTAAAATTTGAAATAAATGAGTTATTCAAGATACAAAAAATAACCCTTTAAATCAAGCTGGCGGAGGTAACGACAACTTTGGAATCCCAACTTTTTGAATTTAGACTACCACAGACCCCCTCCAACGAATTCCGAAGGAAAATTGCTGCTTCGAATTTTTCAGAATCTCAAGCCTGTTCTTCACCTAATCCGATTGGGCTATCTTTGGGATAGCAAACCTAAGGATTGGTACTGGGTTGACAGAAATTGGAATCAAGGAAAACAAAACATGATTAAATTACCTTTGGTTGCGAAAGAAAAAATCATATTTCTTCTCATGCATATGAAGTTTGTGATTTTGAAGCAATTTTCGAATGATTTAACTCCAGTTAGACTTTGTTTAGTTTACCTCACGCCAATGTTCGCTTCATCATTGTATACAATCCAAAGCATATGCTTTGTGTCATTCCTTATTCTAGAATATATTACAAATCTTAAAAAGTTTGGTTCTTCTAAGAGTTCATAGAATTCAATTAGATCCGTTTCTTCTCTTTGGAACCTATCTTGCAGATATTATTATTACAAACAAATTAGGGCTAAGGAATTAATGCTATTAAGCCCAAAATTACAAAGTTCAATAAATAAGTAATTAGCAAATAACATTATGCAATCCAAACTATAAAAATAAACTTTTAGTTTTCCTTAAAAAAGTCAACGAGTTTTTGAATACATTTACTGACTGTGCGCGAACAACACTCGAGGGTAAATTATTCCAAGTATAAAAAACTATTACAAAAAAAATCTTGTCGGGTACGTGTTTTAAAATTTTCTTTGCTCAACTTATACTCATGTCCACGTAGGTTCATCTGTATTCCGTGGGAGTATACTAGAGATGTTGGATGAAAAAGTACCATGAACAATTCTGTAAGTCACAATTAAATCACCTCTTAATCTTTTGTGGGC